TGTACAGACTGTGTCCCTTTTTCTTAAACTCACAGCTAATCTTCTATTGCATACAGATATGTAGGAACCCAATTTAGAGACTCAAAATTTTGATACCCCTGTCCAGCTGAGACAGCAGAGAAAGTCAGAGGCTGGCTGAGCTGTGTCACAGTCCACAGGCATTTTTACCTGTAAGGTTCCTGCTCATTCTGTGTTTTGTACTGCAAAAGTTCCTCTCACCAACACAACAAGCAGCCCAAATAAAAACAGTTTCTTCAAGGATAGTTTTGAACATTAATATTAATCCCAACTTGAGTGCCAACGTCTGTATGGGACCTGGGCGGAGTTATGACAACCTTATTTTAATGATACTTCAGAGATTTCCAAATTAGAATACAGGAAATAGGAAGCGGGAATAAATGAAACAAAGATCAGTGAAAGGATAACTGGAAAAAACATTTTAATACACACTTGCCTATTCCTTAAACATTCATTCAATCAACGTTTCCTGTGATTTTTAATAGCATGGCTCTGTCTGCTCTTTTACACTTAACTTTATCGGGAAAGGAGCTAATTTTTTTGAAGATGTTGTTCATAGTTGAAAGCATTTGGCTAGATGGTAGTAGTTGCATGCCGGGAGCCTCCTGCAATGCTTTTAAGATGTAAAGGGAAGTACTAAGTCTTTTGGATCATTCCCATGTACAGTAGCTCATTGGATCATGCATCACTGGTTCTCACTACTTCTCCACAACCTTCTTGTATAACTTCAGCTTCCTTTGGTGGTGTTTTTAAGCAACTTTTTCTATCAAGTCAGATGGATACTGGTTTAATATATGACAACCCCCATTTATAGTGCTGAATTTCCTTTCCCTGTCTCCCTTACCATTGGGTCTTCTTTCTCGTTTAATCTCTGCCCCAGTGACTTACTGTTACTGCTGCAGCCCTTGGGATGTATGACAACCTTTCTGTATTTTTAATTCGTTAGTATACCATCTTCTTTCACATCTTGACTGAAGACACTGTTTCTCATGATTTCTTCCTGCTTTTGCTGTGGCTTTTTTTGGCTGTTCTAGTACAAAACAGAGGAAAACACTGCGGAATACAGTTGTATGGTGAGTGTGGTGTTTTACAGTAACACCAGCCTCTGTTGCCAAAGGTGTATTACAGGTGACTTTCTGTCCTGTTTAGCACACTATAGCTCCTAGTCTTGAGACTTCAGATCCATGTGTTTCAGTGATTCACGTATAGGCAGGAGGAAATACCTGCTCTTACATAGTTGGATGTTTGCCAAAAGTAGTAAGAGGACTATGAAAAGTAAAATATAAACCAACCTATTTTAATTCCTGAAAAAGATTGCAATGCTGTGCAATCAAAAGATAAAGAACATTTAAAATACAAATCTGATGATTTCATGATGGTGTGGAACATCCAATGTATTATATTCTTTGCATGGTTTATCAGTGTCCAACCCTCAGTATCACTAATACTTACATAGAAAATTACTCTTCTCTAACTTTACAGCAGTGTAGATGAAAGTTACTCCTTTTAAGTCATGACATCAGAAGAATATTTGCATATTCCCACCAGTATAACTGTGAATATAGTCTCATGCTGTGTACACACACCAACCTTTGTAGGTGTCACCTGGTAGAAGAGTAAGGTTATACTTCTGTTATGACCTGCCCTTTTCCCATACTCCACACCCCCTTGAATAGCTGTACTGGAACTAAACGCAAATCCTGTTAAACAGAAGAGTAACCACATAGCGTAATTTAAACAAGAGCCAATTTAAATAACTCTTGTGTTAATGCATGCAAAAAACAGTGTTCTGGGGCATGCAGCACTTGAAAGAACAGGACCCTAAGTGTGTTGAGAGATTATTCTGCCTGCCTGTTACCATATTAAAGAGTCTTTCTGAAATTAGCATGTCTCTTGTGTCACAAGTTAAAAATATTTTCCATATTATACTTAGTTGATTGAGTTTTAATAGAATATTTATTTTGTGGAAAATAAATTTAGTGCTTACTAGGACTTTGTCTTTAATATTAACAATCCACCCCTATGTGTTGTATTGATCTCTCTCAAAATCTGATGTTGCTGTTTTCTAAGAAATTTTACAAATGAGAGCTAATGTAGGAGGTCAAGTTTACCTATAGACTCTTAAAATGTCACCTAGAAAAATGGGGTAGCTGTAAGAAAAATGAAATCATAATTTATCCAATAAATCACCAAATAGGAAAGGAACATTAAATATTAGAAATCCTTTCAGATAATACTAAAATATGTGTGACTTGGAGAAGACCACAGATACTTTAATCAAAGGCTGCTGTACAACAGAGTGAAACTGCTGATTCAATATATTGAGAATAAATTCACCAGCAGTACCATAAAATTTACTAGACTCAGCCTTGTCTTCTGATTCCCTGGAGGACATCATCATGCATCCTCCAAAGCAGACCAGACCTGCAAGGCTAACAATGAATCGAGTGGGCCTAATTCTGATTCTATTTATGTGGAAGTCAAAGGACTTGCGTTCATGCAAGTTAAGAGTTAGGAATACGGCCCAGCACATTTTTGCAGTTAGTTTGTTGACATCAGAAAAAACAGGTGTGTTTCCAGAGTAATTCAAGGGAAAAAAACAGCTTTAGTACCAAAAGCTTTAGTACAAAAACTACATAGCATTATCTGGTGGTTTTTTTAATTCTAGACCTAACTATGCATAAACTTCTGCTGTACTAACATCAGTAGAGATACTCACAGGATTAGGATTTTTAAGGTCAGTACTATGGGTCCAGTCCTGAAGAAGGCACCTCCTTCTTCACCCTGTGAAAGAGATGCTGAGAAGAAGAATTAATTTTCCTTTTTCCTTATCTTTGCATTCACTTTGACAAGGAAGAAACACTGCGTTGTAAGCAAAATTTTCAATTGGGACTAAAAAGAAATCCTTTTCTTATTTTCAGTTTAAAAAAAAAACACCCAAAAAAGAACCTAAGAAAAACACATTTATAATTCATCAGAAATAATGCTGACTGTGAAATACTAAGTCATTTTCCATGCAATTTGCACAGAGATAAATGTGAGGAAAAGGAGGAAAAATAGGAGTGTTATAAGTTGTGTTTGACACACTATATAATTATATATACACACATAAAGTTTATTATAGCTGCCCTTTCATCTGATGTTTGAAGAAATGAGATTTGTTGTTTACCTTCTCCTTAATAGAGGGGAATGCTCTCTAAATGGAGTCCAAAGATCTGTAAAAGAGAGGTCTTATTCTTTAGTAGGATCACCATCTGCTGCTTGCCCATACTCCCTTCAGCAATGTGAGGCCCCTAGACTCATGCACCTTGTGTTATATTCCTGCAAGAAAATGGGGTGAGTGTGAACTGATGCTCAAGGCTGCGTTTTATTAAAGTATTTTGGCTCAATGGAAGATTAGCACTGAAGCTGGGAAATGGCTGGTCACTGCTGCTTTGATCCTCTCTCTCACAGTGACCTTACACATAGCTGTCCAGGGGCGTGGAGGGCAGAAGCTGTTGCAAAGCCTTCACTCTCCCTGCGTGCATTTGCTAAGCAGGGAACACCACACACCATTCAGAGCATGGGCACCGCATATTCACCCCTTCCCCTTCTGGAAGGGTAAAAGTGCGGGGATTTTCAAAGTTATAATGTTGCTTTGTGCTATAAATTCCTTATCTATGTCCTTTAAAAAACTGAAAAGTGCCTTGATATTCCAAATACTAATGGTTCTTTGAGCAGGGAGTTAATGAAGCATTTTAGTCCTCCTCTCTTCCTCTCTCTCAGTTCTCTGCTGTTGAGTAAAGGGTGAGCCTTTCTTGCAGCATGGTACCCAGCAGTTATTTTCCTCTATCTGGATACTGGTTCATGCAAGGCATATAGGAACGTAATACTTTGGATACATGAACTGCCCGTTGAAATAAGCTGACACTGACTGATGGATTCAGAAGTTATGGAAGGAAGCGGCGCACACACACACACACACACAAGCAGGCACACACCGAGTATAACTGCACCTTTATAGCAGCCTCTTCACATGTTGTAAAGGAGCAGGAAAAGAGACACGCTGAAGTATTTCTATTATTTCCTTTCATTTTTAAATCACAAAAAAATGTGAAAATGCTACCAAATTTGGACAGATTTTATACTCACTTCACACTAGAGCTGGATGGCAACAAGACAGTCGACTAACCCAACACAGGCTTGTAAAGATCACTCCCTGCCTTTACCTAGAGATTTTATATAACACACAGGATTCTAGTAAAGAGCTGGAACAATCATAGTTAAGATTAAATCATTCTTTCTTGAACTTTTTAGCATTTTATTACTGAGGTTATAGGTAGTAATCACATTTTATTAGGGCATTTACTGATTCTGAATGTTACGTGCATTTACTTTTAAAACCGCATCGGCTGTTATGTGCTGCTTTTTGACATCAGCCTTGCACAGGAGGTTTCCCACTGTTAGCAGCAACCCATCTGGAGAGTCAAATCCTTCCCTACCTATGTAACGATTTGGAAACCATGCATGCATTCAGGAGTAAAAATTAGCCTCTAGAGTGCACTTGTCTTATAAAACTTTGATTTGGGGCGATTTGCTTCACTATAGCATAAGAAAATGGAGTAACAACTCGAACTATATGTCTGCAAGGACTTGTGAGTGATCTCCTAACTACATTTGAAAGAAAGTTCAACCATGCCTTGAACCTGTATGCTTCAGGCTGAACAATTCAGACAGATGTTTAATCACTTCATATTCACTAGGAAATGGCTATTCAATGGCCGTAGAATTTAAAAGTGGCACTATGAGATGAATGCTTCGTGTTATTTCTGTATTGGCATTCCCTTTTAGAAGCATAAGTAAAAACAATTCAGCTGAATCCAACATGGTTTTATCACATAAATTTCAATCATCATATTTTTTTTTAATCATTAGATACCCTTTTAAATTTTTAGTAGCACAAAAGCCCAAAGCTATAGTGAAGTTGATGCAAATGAAAAGAGATGAAAAAGGATTCTCCAAGTTCTCAGAAAGGGAAGTGTAGACCGGGTAAAAGGTGAGTGCATTGCTTAACTGAATCTGCAGCAATAATTATAAGGAAAATATTTAACTTCGAGCAACACAAAAAAAACATGACCCTGAAACTTTTAACAGGTAATTCATCAAGTGTCAGGCTGAAAATACCTCTTCAGAAGAAAAATTGTAATAAATCCACAGTTGTTGGTTACAGTATGCTAAATATTGTGAAACACTTTGCTAAAAGAAAGACACAGTGTGGTTTCGATAAGATTAAGGTGCATTTCAGCCAAGCATACACATTATTCTTCATTTTACTGTTTGGCAACTTCAATGTTCTTCAGAGAAAACAAAAGTTTATAATGATTAACGTTCTCTGCTGTGGGAAGCATACACTCTGCAACAATACTACTCTTGTGTCGTATTAGCCTTCCTCATCTGTAACATCAGCACAAATAGTTTTTCAGATGAGTAACCAGCATTTCTGAGATAAGTCCTTCCTTTAATTACAGTTGATAATGCGTGATTGTGTATTGCAGTGTCAACAGAGGCCTCAACGAGCCTGACAAACTTCCACTGAGTTCCATACCAAAAGCTCAGGGTCCAGCTGAGTGGGAGTCTGGGGTTCATGTGACTCTCCCATCCCCAACCCCAGACCACCTTTTGTCCCGCGAAGAGATAGTGTGTCACCAAGATGCTCAGAATTAGACCTTTACACTTCAAATTGAGAGTCTATTTCCTCCACTCCTGGAAATATACTACATGGCTCGCATTATATTGGTAAGATAAATTATGCAAAATAATAGTTGCATCTAAACGTATTCTTATGCGTGCCTGTGTTTTAATTCTTGTTAGCAGAGAACTCAGAAAAGTGATTTAAAGTCACCTTATAATTCCAGCTGGCAGTGGAGGAACTCAGGCATGCCACCAGGGAATTCTGTGTTCAAACCTGTATTCAGACATTTAACAGTATGAAGTTCACTGTGCAGATGAGGAATACCACGTGAATCTTTCACAGGGGACACAAAGAAGTCTCACAGTTCCACCAGGCTCCATGGTTCTATTAAACCCCTGGGAAAAAAGATCAATTGACCTGGTGGAGGGGGTACATCTCTTTATGTCTCTCTTTTCACAAATCTGGGATTTTTTCAAAAGTTTTAAATAGGGAACACTATTTTGTAGTGAAATTGAAGAGTACGCTAATGTAGGGAGCACAGTGACCCTCCTATGCTTGGGGCATAGACTCTGCTACTGCACTGTGACCCACCTTCCTCCATTCCTGTCCCAAGACACGCGAGCTCCTCCTGACCCAGCCGTACAGCAGTTCTGCTGTCGTGCTTTACTGAGAAGAGCTGGGATGGCCAATGGCTGGGACACCAAGGGAGCACACAGGCTGCAGCCAGCTCTTCCCCAGCGCTGCGGCAAACAGGCTGTGCAAATAGTGATTCCCTCCTGGGGCGGCCCGAGAGAGAGAGAGAGAGAGAAAGACCACGCCAAATGTTTCTTTCACAGAAGTCACAATACTGAAATATTGTCAATTGATACTGATACTATGCGCTTTTCTACCATGAGGTCACTGAAGATATGTTTCCAGGTCAACATGGAAAGGACAAAAAACCTTATCAGAATATCAGTGCATTGCATCCTGCCATCCGCCTGTACACCAAACACCTGTCAGTGGATATTGCACAGGCAAACTGACTGTGCAGTGTCTCACTCACCATGTCTACCTGTTTACCTATCAGCATTCCAGATGCTGGGAGACCCTTTTTGCACAAGGAGTTACGCTCTTATGTTAGTTTATTCTGGCTAGCTTGGTAGTTAGTAGGCAGCACAGTGGGATGGTGCTGGGTGGTTGTGGCAGGAGCCCTTTGTCTTCCAGCTTATGACTTGGGGAATATGCTACAAGTAGTCCAAACAGCATGAGATACAGGGTAATGGATGACTCCAAATTCTGACATGCCTCCTTGTCCCCACTGTAAGCATAGGTAAATAGGATTTTGGTACAGGAAATAGTAGGATTTACCTATTGCCATGTATTAATGGTATTAGAAAGCTATCCTTGCTCCACCTTTGTATCCCTGCTGTTTGAGCGAGTAGACAACGCACATGCCTGCTTTCACCTCTGGGATTTCTCCTGCCTGTGCTGGTGACAACCGCCATCTTCTGCTTCTCTAAGACAAAGTACTTGCTCCTTCTCTGCCCCAGCAGCACCACTTACTGTTACACAAACCCTTTAAGTCTGCATCTCATCCAATCTCGCCATCCTCACCTTCAAGGTTTTACCTGACATCCAACTTCTCTTATGTCTTCTTTCACCACACATCCTCCCCATTGCCCTTCTTTAAAGCCTCCTCCTAAGCACTCTCTTTGCTTCCCTTGTCACTTAGCAGCAGTTTTACAAGTGTGACTTTTTACTCCTTTAATATTCGTAACATTATTACTCTTTCATGCCACCCTGCATGCCGGAAATGATCTCCTATTTAGAGTCACACACCCTCCCTTAGATTCCTCCCCATCTTTCCTTAAAAGCCATTTCTTCAGCAACAATTGCCGGTTATGCTGTCCTCACTGGTGTGTCTTCATCTGAATGCCACTGGCCAGAGAGGACCTAAATTTAACCATCTGGGCACGGTATTCACTCACACTTTTGCTTGAGGCTAGATAGCTGTCAAGTAGGTATCTTGTTTGACAACTTGCTTAGGTAAGTCATGGGTTACATTATCCTTGTGTCAGCATTCTGTTATTGCAGGGAGCAGCTGCAAATTTGGGGGGTGTTCTTGCAGCAGCCAGTTGTTGGCTGTCTGATGTTCAATTTTTATTTATAAGTGTTCCCGGTAGTTGGAAGAAAGGGCACTTTTTTCTTGTTGTTGTTAAAATACTGATAATACTCTTAAAGATCTCCACAAACTGAAAAACCTCAAAGGTTAGCCAGTAGTACAAGTTTATGAGCTTGTTTCTAATTCAATGTATACCATGATTGAAAATGATGTTGATTATAGGGAAGTGTCAGACTAGAGCTAAATCTCTTGGTGACAGAATCTTACCTTTTCTCCTGCTTACCCTGTTAATGGCAGACTAGCATGCTTTGGCTTTGGAGTCAGAAGACTGAAGTCCACAAGGTGCTTTTTTCTGCAGAGGATCTTCCTCTTCAGAACTCACTCTCCACTTTGGCCACCAAAACTTATGCCTCTTTGCCTTCAGGATCAGTTTAAGGCACATACTGGTTATGGTGAAAGTCTCATTTTTTCATTTTGCCAGATAGTGTGCTTCTGCAAGTCATTTATTGACGTGCCACAGAAACACAAAGGTGTTTGTGTTCTGGCTGAAGTTACACACGTCATATGGTTTACCAGCTCATTCTAACATAAGTGATGTGCTACTGGTTTTGTTCAATGTGGTCTATGTCATTTTCTATTTTTCATTTCATATGCATTAGCAGAGATAAAGTATGTGTTTTTCCTCATCTAGATGCCTTTCAGAAGTAGGCTAGAATCAATCGCATGCCCTGAATTTTAGTAATCCGTGACCCTCCTTAAAGTCATCTCTGTTTCCTCCTAATGCAAACTGGGAAGCATTCTGCTGTCCCACCAGCTTTCTTAGAATGGCAAAAGCAGCTGAATCTAATAGTCTTCTGAATGTTTCAGATGTGTATTGTGCTTTTTCTGCTATCCATTTTATAGGCTTCCACTGGTTAAATTACAATGAATACAGAGGAGCAGATTTTGTGAACCACTAGCAGATGTTCGCTGTTGCTAGTTTTATGAGTCTTGCAGAACAGCAGGAACAGACTATGTGCAAAACATTTTGTTGTGTGATTTTGCCATCTCATACTGTTCTCACAGCACTGGCTCGGTAATGATATGATAACACTTGGGAGGTAGGCTTTGATTGCAGACTAGCTGCTGTTGGGGCCTTCAGAAAGCCAGACGTGTAAAGTGTAGTTTGTTTTCAAAAGCCTGTGGCTGAGACAGATGGGTTAGCTGGAAATACGTAACTTATAATATAATCAAATACTTGACCTCTTATCCAGGTATAAGTTGTTATGACATGGCTGCTGAATGTTTAAACTGTCTCACAATTTGTTTCATTCAGATGTAAGCTGTGGTGGCTTTGTGTGAAATGCTAATTTTGGATGAAATTATTATGTTAGCATGATTTATGTGATTTTTGTAACACCTTGTTGTATAGAGAAGAAAACGATCACAGAACAGTTTCACATAAAAAGCAAGAGTACTAGAATCTGTAAATTTCAAACATTTTCCTCAAATAATGCCTTATTTTAAACCTGGCGCAAGTTTTGGTAGGGAGTGTATCAATGTGGTAATTTACTGTCCTCTCTTGAGCTAACAAGTCACTTGGTTGAATTGGTTTTGTAGTCAAATACACGTTGTGGGCAAAGGAAGAGATCTTTAATACAGAATCAGCCTTGCTCTGTGATCTGAACAGAAATGAATTATCCGAGGCACAGACAGCATAGGGACAGAGCAAGGCTGAGTTTGTGATAGCACTAGCTTTACTTTGACTTAGTAATATATCCATCTACAGAGTCCACACCTCTTCCTTTCCTCCATCTCTATTGCCAAGGGATATGTAGCTTATAGCAGTTATCTGAGCATACACATATTAACTGTGACTGTAAGCAGAACAGCAACCATGATAAAAGATTATTCTTAATACTGGAAAGCCAAAGCATACAAACAATTTGAAATATAAGATCTGAGAGTGTTTGCACAATTCTAATTCAGCCCTTTTGTATCTATGCATCAAAATCTGTTATAACACAAATGCAGATTGAAGATAAAATAAGAATAGGACAGACATTCTTAATACAAGCATTATCTAATTCTGCAGTGCTTGATTTGCAACCTTAAGATTTATTTTAGCACAGATATTTAGATAGAGTTTTCCTTGTTTGGTTGGGGTTTTTTTTCCTTTTTAAAGAACAAAGGGGGAGGGTAAAAATAAAATTTTAAAAACCCAAACCAACCCAAAACCCCATGAAAATTGTATCATCCTCTAGGTAAAGCAGTAGTGGAGGGAATGAGCTGCGCAGTTTTCCAACACAGACCCTTGTTTCAGTCATGGAGCAGGTGAAAGCAAGAACCGAGGGTCCCAGTGCAGGCTGTGTGGGAGAACAGTTACCTGCTGCACACGGGTTCTTCAGCCCTTTTCTCACCACCAGCTTAGTGCTAATCTGCTCCCTTTCTCTCCTGATTTCATTTGCTTGCATAGTCCAGTAAGAGGGAATAATTTGAGACAGATACCTAAGGGGGAGAAACTGGGACAAGAACAGTTGGGAGAAGACTGTGAGTGGGGAGAAGGGAAGTTAAGATGAATGAAGGAGGCAAACAGAGACTTCGATGTTTAAGATGTTAAAGACTGAGCTATATGGCAAGTGACTGGAAAGAGGGAGACAACACTAGGTAACTTCCACAGGCAACACTACAGAAATCTATTAATAACAAATGTTACTTCCTTCTCTACCACACAACCAGAAAACAAGCTTGAAAGATTAAAGTTCAAAAATTCATTAGGTTGTAGCTGATAAAATTTGAAAACATCTATTCAGCTCATGCAGGATTGCTCCTTATAATGAGGTTTCTTGTGCATTATGAAATCTAGTTCTAAAGCGATTAAAATTAGAACCCTTGAAAAACAATTTTAATAGTTCCATGTCTCAGAAATTCTAGGTATTTCTCCAATTTAAATATTCGCGTTGCTAATTTGTTTTTTACTTCTCCTAATTTGTAGCATTTTTAACCTGTTCAGCAATTGCTATCTATGCAGGTTCTTAGAGTCCTTTTAACTGTATACATGCTATTACCACATCCACACCAGACACTTAATTGTAGCAAGGCTAACATCTCTTAACTCTTTCAGGACACATGTCTGAAGTCAAAGATTTTGTTTGATTTTAGGAAGAAATCAGTAAGTTTAGTAAGAACAGGTCCAGAGGATATTGATGCTTATCATGACTTAATTCATAGTCTGCCTTCCACTAATTTTTTCTCCCATTTCCATGGAAATCTTAATTATTTTTCAGTCTTTAAAGTGAATAAAATGGGATGCAATCCAGTTGCAATAGAAGTCAGTTTAGTGATATACTTTGTTGTCATATAATATGCACATCCCAAATAACATCGCACAAAAACTTAATGTAGGTTGCTTGTGCTGAATGCCCAATATGTTCCCTGTGTTATGAAATGCAGTTAGTGGTACGTCTCACTGCTCACTACTGCCTTGTGCACAGCCCTTTCTTGCCCTACTGATGACACCTGAAGCTGATCAGCTTCTATTTATGAAGAAGTTTTCTTCTTTTTTCATAGTACCACAACCATTCTTAGAGGGAGTGCTTACCTCTCTCTTCACCTTTTCCTTTGCAAGGGACCTATCTCTGACTTGGGCTTGTTGCAGCAATAATGATCCTGAATCTGCAGATTCCTTACCATTTCCAGAAGCTGAGGTTCAAGGATGGCTAGTATGGGAAAGTTCACATTGGCATTATTTCCACTATTCTTGTTTCGGGTAAAAGTAATATCCCATTTCCATGAGCATTTAATAAATATACTATTATTATTATTTTGCATAACAATGCTGTAGTTCTGCTTTCCTAGAATGTAAGCAGTAGTAAATATTCTATATGTTTTACAGATAAGGGTTTCAGCAGTGCCCTATTTATTCAGCTGAGAATAGCAATTTTGTGGATGAATAATTTTTTACAGCATTTCTGTTCTTATGATGTTAACCAGATGCTTGAAGGACTGACTTTTGGTGTGATGTAAAACTTCCAGAGTGATGCCATCAACGTTCATGTTTGCTTTACAGGTTGATGACCAAATGAAGTTGCTTCAGAACTGCTGGAGTGAACTCTTAATTCTAGACCACATTTACCGGCAAGTGGTACATGGGAAAGAAGGCTCCATCCTTCTGGTTACTGGGCAACAAGTGAGTATGTGGACTCAGAGAAGTATTGATGGCTTTTTAATAATAATTTTCAAAATAGCAGGAGTTTAACTAGGTCAGAAGCACTCCTGTGTTCTCAGAGATTCTCCACAAATAATGTAGATAAAATTACTTGTGCACTCTGTTCCTAGTCTGCTGATTACAGGTAAACTTATAAAAGCAGATATAATCATAAGCACTTTGCTTTTCAAATATACTTGTATACTTCAGTGATTGAAAAATAGCAGATGAGAAGGATTTCTCAAGAAGTTGTATTTTCTTGGGGCCAAAATGTTTTATGACAGCACAACACTCCCAAGCCTGATGCTTTAGGTCTAAGCAATTACAGCTTATTTTCCCTTCAGAATTGTGGTTTACGCAAAAGAATCACTACCTGGGTCAGAAACCTAGAGAATCTGCAGCTACTACCTCAGAAATATCTTGCTTTTAGAGAAATATGCACATGTGAGAGGCTGAGCAGGTAAGACACCTAATTCCAGGAAAATTATTCAGTCCATAGGCTATAAATACAGGTATTGTCTCAGGAGCTGTCTCAGGGTATGCACCCTGAAGTTTCTGCACAGCTTTCCAAGGCTTAATTGTCTTCAGGTGTCAGATGCATAGATCTCCCAAAATGCAAGAGCAATAATGTGGCAAATATTAGGAAAACTGTGAGAAAACCCAAAGGAAATAGAAAGTTTTGTCTCCCTCATACTTTCCAAAGCATAAAGAGCTTGACAGTAAAATAAGAACCTTATTCCGAAGATTCTTATTCCAGTTTTAACAGAAAAAAAATCACAGTATCAAAGAGAAGTAAAGTGTGCCTCTACATTACGTTCCTGATTCAAACAATGGCCCATCAGTACTTCAGTAGCTGCAAACTGAACTGGCTCAATTTATACACACATGGGAAAGAGCTCCATTTTCTAAGATATATCATTTGTGTCTGCATGTTGTGGAATCTGCTTACAGCTCTAGTTATAATTTTAAAACTGTAGCCATTTCTTAATGCTAAGAACAAGCATCTATAAGAATCAGAAGGAGAAATAACTGTTTGCCTTTATGTTTAAAAGATATACAGTAGAAGGGAGAAATTATCAACTTGTCCAAGAAAAGAAGTGGGAAAATTCAAATTCTAGCTATGGAACCGACTCCTGCACCTTCATGGAAAGACACTAACCTGTCTGAGATAAAGTTATTCTCCCTAATTATATGGGCAAAAATTAGTTGCATTACTCTTGATTTATATTGGTGCTATTGAGAAAATGACTGATCTCCTTTCCATTTCATCATCTGCAAAACATAGACAATTGTACCAGCAATTATTTTATTTACCACACAGGGTGCTGGATTATTCCTTTGTTTATAAAGCTATAAGTGTATTGACAGTTTTCTGTTCCTGAGAGACCTGCTAAATTAGTGTCTTATATGTTATGTGATTAGCTAGTTTTTAAAGGTACTGAGTGCCTAACTCCCACTGAAATCATTAGCGACATCTAAATACCCTTAAATTCCAGCCATTGTCCCCATTTTTCCACAGTAATAATTCTTACCTCATTAGCCACTTTTATCTTTTCTTGCAAAAAACCCCCAGCTGTACATGATCTCAAGGCAAAGCAGAGCATTTCATCCCTGTTGGACAACAGGTAGCCGGATGCTTATTAAATGTACTGCTTGCAAATCATTGGCTAGTTTTGGAAGTTGTATGTTTCCAGGCAGAATTATAGTCTTCAGCTAAATTAAAACCTGGTTAAATTGGACTTATTGAATCCATTTTTGCCCCAGGTTTGTCAAATAGGTTTAAATATATCCTCCTTTCAACCCAATTTCACTTTCCTATATCAAAGTTTGTCATCCTGAAGTTGCTGCAAGCACCCCCAGAGTCTCCCATCATCTTTCGTACTTTCCTCTTTGCACTTAGGCTGCTTGGAGAGCAAGGAGCCATATTACAAGAACAGCAAACAAGAGCACTACAGTCAGTCCCTTTCCTTATGGATGGACTCCTTCCCATTTCACACTTGCTAACAGCTGGAGAACATACTCCCATGGATGCAGCACAGATTTTCCTTGAGAAACAGGGAGACACCAGACTTGAATTAAATACGCAGTCTCTGGCTGCTGGTTTTGAAACTGGAACAAGTCAAAATCTACACGTAATGTCACTGTATTTTCCTGATCTCATTCAGCTCTGGTCACCGTCATCCTAGATGAAAAGCCAGGTTGCTTACAGGAGTGGGCAAGGCTGCAGTGACTGCGCCTGCTCTCGCTGGGCTGTGCGTGCTCACAGCAAGATTGCTGTAGCTGAGGTATTGCAGAAATGCCACTACTATGCCAGTATGTGAGTTGTATAAAATTAGTAATTCGAAAGCACTTACTTCAAAACATCATCTATTTAAATTATTTTCATGGGTGAAAATCATTCATTGAAGAAGCTCGTTTATTTAGATGGACAAAGCTGTGTGAGCTAAGCAGAAAGTTTAAAACATCTAGAACTGCCAGAGCCACAAATCTTAAAATCACAGAATAATCCAGGCTGGAAGGGATTTTAAGGAGTCTCTAGTCCAACTCCCCGCTCAAACCAGGTTTTTCAGGGCTTTGTCCAGTTGGGCTTTAAAAACTGCCCAAGGATGGAAACCACAAAACCTCCCGGCGCAGCCAGCGCCACTGCCTGACCATCTTCATGGGGAGAAGGTTTTTCCTTAGTTCTGGTCTAAATCTGTTTTTTTTCCAACTTACACCCAATGCCAGTCACTGTCCTCCTCCTTGAGCCCTGCTGCAAAGCACGGAGCCTAAGAGACCTTGTTAGTCAAGACTGAGGCAAAGGGCACTGAGCACCTCAGCCTGGTCTGTGTTTGCTGACACTAAATCACCAACTGAAGCCAGCAGCAGTTCCACATTTTCCTTGTTCATCCCGTAACTAGCAATTTGACATCCTTTGCAAGTCTCAACTCTAGCTGAACACTGGCCTTTTTAACATCATCCCTATATGCCTGGACAGTGCTTCTAAATTACTTGTTCAGAGCCACTCCTGGCTTCACCTGGTATATACTGCCTTTTTGCAATGTAGCTCAGTTGTGAGTTACTTGTTTAGCCAAGCTGATCCAATACAACTGCTTCTTTTCCTGAGCATCAAGATAGACCATCTTGGCAGCATCAACTCAGTCTGTTGTCATTCTAAGACACAACGCCAGTTCAAATGTATTTATGAAAGGACAATTATGACTGTGTCTATCTCCTCTGTATTAACTGCAAAATAGTTCTGGAAATCCACACTTCTAGACCCAGGCATTATGAGTCTTTCCTATTGCACTAAATGCTGCATACTTTCTGGTTGCTGCCCTGATCCCTTCAGTAGAGAAAGGGAAATAACCATGCCACTATCTCCTAAAAATTAATTGATTAAGGTGTGGAAAGCACTCTGACACTTCTGATGAAAAGTGCTGTAGATGTTTTTATTTACTGCTACCAGCAAAGCACTATGAGCAAAATTACAGTCAATCATCTGGCTTTCAAAGATATTAACTTTAAACTGAGGACCTGAGCTAGATAACCTACTTTATTACCTGAGAGATCATGATTATTGTCACAAGTTAGCAAATTTAAGACCTCACTCCTTGCTTTCCTTAATATATCCCTCTATAAAAGCTACTCATAAACACAGTCCTTTTTACAATCACAATCAAGGAGGAAGCTGTAAGGGGGGGAACTTATCACCACTTAATTAGAACATACCTGCTTTCTCCACTTAGGCTGCACAGCCTCTGTTCCTCAGACACAAAAGTCAAACTTCATCCAGCTCCCCAGGGCCATACCACTGTCAGTTCTATACTAGGTATCCAAAATGGGCTAGTAGTTAGAAGCACACTCGATAATTTTCAAATGCATTCGCTCAAAACCCGTTACCTTAGGGCATTCTTATCACATTTCCATACATCTGCATTTCCCTCAAGCCACTGGCTTATGAGTTTTACCTGGTGTCAATCTACTGTTCCCACTTTGATAGGGAAAAAGTGCAGTCAGCAACAAAGTAGTCAGCATTGGTCCTTGCAAAAAAGACGACTGTGGTTTATTTTATTTTGTTATTTATTTGGTTGGAGTTTCATAAATGAAGGTCTTTTGTGTGTGTGTGTTTCAAGAAAGCACTTTTTTCAAATCATTACAATTCCTCAGCAGTTCCCCAGAAACAAGTTCCTCCCTATGCTGCACACTTCATTTTCTGCACTAAGTACTGCCCCTCAGCAGTAGCAATTACCATTTCAAAAGGAAATAAAGCAGCACAAATGCATTTTACAACTCTCCAAATTTCATAACAGAAAACAGCTAAGGAGTGATTTACAATGTGGTGGTTAATTGTAAGTCATTGCCAATATGCTCTCCACATGCCAAGTTTCGTAGCCTTGCCATGTGGCATGTAATTTTAACAGACCATTTCTAATTATAGAACTGTAATTCCTCCAAGTTGAGCGCTTTCCTTTTGTTTCTTCTACACCAGCAATACACTGCCAGCTTCCAAGATCCAGGACACACAGGGTAGATACTAAAGCTCTGTACAGAATATCATCGTTCATGCATTTTCATGCAGCAGTCAACACAACACACATGAACTGTAGCCTCAGCTGCCCAGACACAAGCTGCTCATTTTGTTCATACCTATGCTCTACTCATTGCTACCAAATCTTCCCTCTGCTGAGCTCAGTCAAAGCCTTTCAGATTAAAAAGGTTGTCCAAAAACATGCCTAAGTGTCAGATTTTTTTTGAGATTGTTGAAAGTACTGATTTAGTTAGAGTCATCACACAAATACATCGTTCTACCTGGATTTGTATTCTAAAGCATAGCACCAGAAAGGAGCACGAGACATAACCAAGATCTTGACAGTGTTGTGTTTTGAAGCAAATTAAAACTTAACTTCAATTCAGATCAGAATTTTGTGGCTTGAACCTCTCCGTGGATGGGATATTTGTAGATCTTTCAGCTGTACCTTATTGAAAACTGGTGATGTGTG